TCTCTCCAAGGCCACAAGGTAAGCATACTCTGAAAAAAGCTAACATACTGCTAAACATCTAACAGTGTTCTGCATTGCCACTCTCCTACACATCTCAGATGGAAGAGATACAAGGGCGATCAACAGCTGCTGTTGCCAACATCTGAAGACAGATGGGAGATGCCATACTTGCACCATACTTCAGCACCCTCCTCCGTTTGTCCAACTTGTGAGTATCCCAGAGCAGGCAACAGTGGGACTGCTAGCACTGCATAGTTGTATTAGAGACAGGAGATGGAAACTGCTGCTGCTGCATGCTATTAATGTCTCCTGCTCCTCAGCTGCACAGGCAAGTTCTCTCTTGAGAAGACCCGCAGAGTATCTTCCTCCTCATTAACAGGATGCAGCGAGGAACAGGCCTATCAGGCACTGCTCTGCGATTAACAAATCCAACTAGTAGAAACAGGTTTCAGTAGGATGTTCATTTACTGGTTCTAAAAAGCAGAGACAAGATTTCTGACTCATTCTCACCAGCTGCCCCACCTGGGGAGGGCTCACATGACAAGGTCTTATATTTCTTCATTTTAAAGACATTAAGAAAGCTATTGGTATACTTAGGTAAGCAACCAGACAGGGCACAAGTGATTGCTCTGTATTAGTAATCAAACACCTTCACTTTGTGGCTGGGAGGCATGAGGTCACAGGAAGAGTATTTCCAACACCCCAGATATGTTACAACAGGGTACACCCTGCAATAGGGTGTTACTTTCTAGTGTCTTAATAGAAGTATTTTCTTTACTAGTTGATTTTCTTTACTAGTTGCTTCACATAAACATACCAACAGTAGCACTGATGCAAGAGCTGTTTGCCTCCAAACCCTGGACAAAGCTGATTAGAAAAAAAAAAGTAGAGAGAGTGTCAATTTTATTTAGACAATACTAACAAGCAACAATACTAATAACAATCATTTAGAGGGAACAGCTTTGCTCTTAGGAGGGAAAAAGCCTCCAACAGACAACACAAGAGTGGAAATAAACTATGAGTCGCAAAACAGAGATAAAGTGCTAAAAGCAATAGTAAGATCTTGTTGCGAAGTGATTAAAAACTGGAGCAAATATCTGGGGCAAAGGAACTCCAATGCTGCCAACTCATCCCAAAGCATTTTTTCTATCACTGCATCTGCTCTGCTCACAAACAACAGTACAGCCTTTGGAAGAAAATGCTGTGCTACACAGGCAACATTGAAAGCACACTGGCTTGCTGCACAGCCCTTTGAGCTGCTTTTCCTGTACTGCAAGTTTCAGAAACCACAGCCAGCTCCATCCCACTGCAAAGCATTGATCTGCCCCCAGAACAAGCTGCAGTCAGTCACATAGCGCAAACATACACAACTGCCAGAACTCAGCCTCTTCGGACAGAGCAGAAGATCTCTGTGGCTTGGGCTGATAAAACCTCCCAAACACTTTTCTCAGTTTCAAACTCTATAACTCTGGAATGTAACACAAGGGTTAGAAAACACCTGAGGGGCATGGTGTTCAAGCCCTGTGCTGAAGGCAGCTTCAATCACTTTCAGTTACGGTAGCATACATGTGAAAAGCGGTCACGAATGCCTGCATCTTTCCACACAGCTACAGAGGAACATGAGACATCACCTCCACAAGAAGCAGCACAGTGAAGTTTAATTCTGCAAGATATCAAATTCAGATCATACCATATTTTCCAGAGGTTATTGAAGGAGACACTCATCAAGATAATGTTCACAGCATGGCCTAAATCAAAACCAATGGCAGCATTTGAAGAGTGTAGATGATGCTCACTCTTTTCTAGAACAGAAATTTGATATTAGGAAAATAGTACCAGAAACACAAAGCTAGCTCTCTCAGCTGAGAGCAGGTAAGATGTATTTGTTAGATGTATCAAATGTCAATAAATAGGCCTTGACAAAAGGAAAGGACACTTGAGCCTGTAAGCAGCAATGGTTTACTTGGGAGGCCTTTGACATCTGCGTTCTTATCATAGAATCATTAAGATTGGAAAAGACCTCTAAGATCATCTAATCTCTTACACCAAGACAGGACACTGTCAGGACAATAACTTTGATCTACTTTTCATCCTAAGTACAAGATGACCTCTTCTGCTGTAGGAACCAGAAATACATTAACCACTTGTTTTTAATTACATGAAAATTTAACTCAATGCTACATTAACTTTAGCTAAAGAGAAACAGACTGGAAAGAGTATTCAAGAGAGAATACTCTAAGACTAACAGCTGTCATATATGAGTGTTATCTGACAGGAATAGCAAAAATTAACCATGTCAGACATCCCACTGAACAGCAACAAACAGGGTAGTAGCTTCCTGCTAACAGTGCTACAGAACAGAGGTTGCTGTAATGAGATTTCACATAAATGTAAAATACAGCCTTTTCCTTCTTTAACTAGGCTTTATTGCATTTAGGTTTAATAAGTGTATCAAAATCTGATTTTATTAAGTAGCAAAATCAGATTTATGCTATACTAGTATTCATATATGTGAGTGATGACTTTGCAGTATGTAAACACAGACCTCAGAAGAATAAAATCAGTTTCAAATTCCCTTTCTATTCAACAAGAGCAATCAAAATCATGCTGAAATCTGCTACTTTAAAACTTCACTGTGGGGGGAAAAGAAAAAGTTTATTTCATTAAAACTGAAAAAATCATTTTCATGAACAGTTATGTTCAAACTCCGCAGACCTTTCTGGATAGCAGTATCAGAAGCAATGCCAATTACATGTTCACAAAATTGTCTTACTTGACAGAAGTTTAAAGTTACTACCTGGAAAAGAAGCAGCAGCAATACAATCCAAAACTTGTCAGTAAATAAGTAAATATGTCCTCAGACAGCAATGACGTTTACAAATAAAATCCTACCTGTAAAACCAAAAACTTAGGGCTGACCTCCATAAATACAGTCTGTCAGTTGTTCTACTTGTGTGTTCTACAAAGATGGAAAGTTCTTGGATGCAAATGGAGAGCTGTGCCAGCAAGTTCCTAGGGCCCTGGCCAGCTGAACAGCCTACCTTTTGGCAGCAGCACATCCTCCTCTGAGAAGCTAATGATTCTGGAGCGCTCCCATCGCCCAGACTTCTAAACTGCTTACAGCACAGCAGATGCCCAAGGTAGTTCCTGAGCTGGAAGTATAACTGCATCAGGGAGTACAAGTCTAACACTGAAGACTGTCGTCTTCACACGGGGTTCTGAGTTACAACAGCATGCCATGAGGCACAATGCAGCGCTGCGCCACCTCACACAGCTGTATCAGGCATCATGTCAGCATAAATTTGTTTTTTGGTACACAGAAGATCTCCCAAAATGCTTTTAGATGTTAGCATCCAAGCACTAGTTTGAAGTACTTTTCTAGCTAAGCCTTCACATCCTTATGTAAGTCTCTCCTTTCTCACAGCTAACCTATTTCACGAGCTCTGACACTGCAAGTTAGCACCCATCAGTCTTGTGAAGTTCCCTTGGCAGCAGAGTCCATCAGATATTTACTAAGTATCTTCACTAAACAGCAATTTGTGAACTTGCCTGTATTTTCATCTCATTAGTGAGGTGTTTAACGTCACAGAACCTTCTAGAGATGATTGTTTGACAGCAAAATGCATTCTGTCAACTAAATACACACCCTCGTCCTGTGTTAACAGAAGTCAAGAAGAAAAGTACATCAAGGTACTTGCAGTATCGTAGGGGACAGGTTTTGAATTTGTATAGATATCTTTAAAAATTAATAACAAAGCTTAAGAAACCTTTTAAGAGTCCAATCTTCCTCCATGCCAACAACCAGGTTATTTGCTGCTCTCCTTCCACAGGCCAATGAGGATTTTATAAAGCACCATTCAGTCTGAAGGAAGTGAAGTGTTTATCTGCCCATGGCACTGAAGTTTATGGAGTCAGGAGAAGTAAAAAACGCTGTTACTACAAACAAGCTCTAGAAACTACTTATACTGAAGAAGTTAAATGTTAATGTCACTGGTCTGAAATCTTAGAATCTTAGAATTAAGCTTCCAGAAGTCAGCTCAAAAAAGGAACAACATTAAGTTCCATCACTGCAATATGGTGCTGTTGTAGCAGCACTGTGATTAAAACATCTCAGTCATCTCTTGTACAATTCAGCCCAACCTCTTTACAGCGGGATTTAAAATGAGACAATAACAGAGCTATGTAGATTACTCAACTGACAAGTGGCTATTCAGAAGACAAAGTGAAAGCAGAGTACTAAGCCCACATACTTCCTTTATAGCCAGCTCTTTTACTTACAAAAATTTTAAAAGCTCAAGTGTGCATTGTAACTGCAGCAGGGCAGGTACTTCCCATTCATTTAGTACTGTTATATTTAGCATGTGAATAAGGATACTAAGCAGTGAGAAACAGTACTAAAATAAAAATGAATAAAATACTTTCTTTGGAAAGTAAAGCTAATTTTTTAAGTTACAAAATAAACATTGATGAGCTATATATCTGCCATATATCTAACCATACCTGCCTACTTTGAACAACGGTACTACTGCACTATCCAAAAAGGCAGACAGCAACAAAGAACTAATGAAAAGCACCAATGTAATACTGCGCTGCTGATCTGAAAGCTCTTGGGCTTTCAACACAGAAACATTAAAACCTCCCTCCAGCTTGAGTATGTAATTAAGTGCAAACTTCATTCCATCTCTGATTGATCATTTCAAAGCATTTTCAAACTTCCCCTACCATGTTCACAGATGACAAAGGCTGGCAATTTGTTATACTCAAAACTGAGATTCTTCTACATTGCTGTGCATTCTGTCAACATGCTGCCCAATGAAACATCTGTTTAATAGCCCTGGGTGTATACCACTATCTCTTGAGCTCTGCAGTGTTACTAAAAAGATAATTCACAGTCACTGATACTGAAGATTTAGTTTCACTCTACCCACTAAAGTGATTAACTTAAGTGGTAGGCAATTCATTCTCTTGAAATTTGTTTTTCAGGTTAACAGCAGCTTTACCTGCATAATGTACAGGGATTTCTATCTTTGGCCCTATGACGTAGTGGCCCTCCTCCAGACTGTGAGCTGTAATTGTTGTCCACTGCCGACACGAATGAATCAGGAGGTAATCACTCTCTCGAAGGCCTTCTACAGTTTCTCCTGAAAAACAGACATATGATTTTAAAATTACACTTTTTGTCTACAGAATTAGGAAGACTTCACAACAAGCATTGTGTTCTTACTACTATTTACTTTTCAGAAATCCGATTTAAATAAGTTAAGAAATCCAGTTAACTAAGTTGCAATTCTAAACAGTACTCATTTTGCAAGGTAAGCACTTTATCTTAAAGAGCACAAACATAAACCAACCCACTGTCTGAATACAAAGTACCAGAGATGTGCTGTTGATCATTCAGCAGTGGCTTTTAGCTTGCTTTTTCAGATTTCTGCTTAAACAGATTTCTCACATTCCTCTTTATGTCTGTCTATCTTTCTTAATACACATACTTGAGAGCTCTTAATCTTTAAATAAAGGAAATCCACACACAAATCGGTTATTACACTTTGGAGGTATCAGAAAAGCATATTTCCATACGTTAAAGGACCAGCACTTCACTAACCTAAAGCCACCTAAGGCCAAATTCTGCTTGTCACTATTAAGCAGCTGAGTACTTCACCTGCAGACAGAGATTTCAGCTCTTTTTATCCCTTTGCAAGCTACTAGGTAAATAGCTATTCCTGTACAAATAAACTTAATCCTATTGCTTGTGAAGAAAAAGTTAATACACTACAATCATCACTCACAGCAGGCTGCTCTTACATTCATACAGTCCTGTTTGTATACACAGAGAAAACAGCCTTCCTCAAGGTGTCTTGAAACCAGTCAAATGAACTATCAGCAACACCTAGCAGACACCAAACACAAGTCAGAATGACCAGAGAGGCTGCGGAGTCTCCTCTGAAGATACTTAAAACCTACCTGTACACTTTCCTATGTCACCTACAGCAGGGAACCTGCTTTAGCAAGGGGTTGGGCTTGATTATCTCCAGAGGTCCCTTCCAACCCCCTGCGATGAACCCAAGAGATGGACCTCACGTGGTCTACTGCCCCATGAGCTATTAAATCCATTTAAAAAAAGTATTTTGACAGCAAGCAGGCACACTTTCAAGTAGGCACAGCATTTCAAGACCAAGGCAGTCCAGCCAGGCAGGCAGTCTGCTAAGCACCAGCTCCTACTCACTGACTTCGAGCATCTTCTGTTCTCTGCTCAAAAGACAACTCACAATAGGCACAAAAATTCTTTTCAGCTTACTCCAGTGAACAGTTATAATTCTGGAGGGAAACATAATGATAATATATGGTCTATTTGAAACTCAAGTTTCAGTTCAGAGTCTTAACCTCATGCTTTCTATAGCCCATGGCAACAAGCAATTATTCCATCCCACAGCAAAATAAAAACAATGACACCTAAGGGAAGAACTAGTATTTTACTAGTTTCATTGACAATAGCAAACAGATTTTGAAGAAAAGCCAAAGCACCGCTGATACGTTCTACTGTGCCTTACAATTTGTAGTTATAATTTCAGATCATTACCTAAAGAAAGCCCGAATTCTACATCCAGGATTTGCAGGGAAATAATTACAGTATAGATCGTTCTTGAGGAGTCTGAGAAAGATGTTTTCAGTAAAAATAAATAACATACACACATAACAAAAAGGAGCTTCCAGCCATGGCTCACAAGCCACGATCTGTTAAACAGGTTACTCCTAAAACTGGGTGGGACAGGTGAGTGTAAAAAGGTATTATGAAGGCAGGCCCAACAGTGACTACCTAATTAACTCTGCAGCTGGAAGTAGTAATTTTTAAGCAGAGTCTTGGAAACCACAACTCTTGCTACAACAACCATTCCCTGGAAGAGATTAAATTGGAAACAAATTCCGTATTTCTCTCTGGAAGCTGGAGCAGAGCAGAAAGGTGGATGTACACAACAGGCAGGCCTGGCACCTGCATGTCCTTTGCTTCTGCAGCCTAGGGTGAGTAGAGTTCCTGGGGTTGCTTTAGACGAAGCTGCTCCTCGTAGGGATTAATGGATTAGCAAAAAACCTGGCTAACAACAGCCTCCACACTATGGGGAAATACAAGGAAGCATCAAATATGAACGGGAACAGCATGTGGTGATACACGTTCTTTCTAATTCCTTCCACTGACTTGTCCAGTGCCTTTAGACCAGCCTCCTCTCTTCAGGCTGGGGACACGTTCAAACCAGGCTACGCTTCTCAGGATCTGGCCCAAGCACACCCAGATGTAGCCCTTCATACTTTTCCCAGCAACCCATACCTTGCAACACAGCCACATGCATCCAATCTGATTTTCCCCCATCTCAGTAACACAGGTTATGCAAGCCTTTCATTAATCACATTTTAGCTATGTGGGAGAGAAGTCAGCAGCCTTCACATCCACAAACTATGCATCTTGGCTCTCACCTATTCAACATACTCCTACACTACTGCTTACATAAAATCAAACTCCATGAGAAAACAGAATACAGGTCACTCGTCTTTACTAACAATTTTGTCTCTTGTGATCAAATATGGATTAGCTGTATCTCGCCCTCTCCTCCCCACCCCAAATGCCTGCAATGTAATTATACCACTACAAAGAATCTACAGGTAAATACTTGAGTTCATTCTTTCCCCTAAATAAAAGTCAGAAGCAAGGAATTATCACGTTTCCTCACACCTCCCTAAGTCCATTACACTTTTCCAAAGCCTGAGTCAACTTTATTCATAATAATGCCCAAGACTAAGAAGCCCATGCTTTGCTAACAGCACGTAAATCCTAATAAAGCACTGACACCCCTCCTTACCTTACAGTAAAAGTCTCACACCTCCACACGGTGAAGAAAGCCAGCGTATTCCTAAGCAAGCCGTCATCCTGCGAGCACTGTGACCAAGACACAGGCTACTTCACCACCCATCACTGAAGCAGTGCTTTAACAGCTACTCATGTGTTCTTTCTCAATCAGATATCATCATTTTTTAGTTACATGATTGGCAAAACTTCATATCCATGCAACTCTTAAGAACTACAAACAAAAGCCCGCTGTTGTTCAAAAGCAATTGCAGAGAGAATGATGACAATGAAAGGAAAATTCTTCAAACGTTGGTAGTTAAAAAACAACAAAAAGATAATTGCCTCATCAAGATTCTTATGCTTATTAAATGCCACCTACATTAAATGCCGATACTCCTTTCACAATTCTTTCTAGTCCTAGAACTTGTAATCCAATCTTGGCTCAGTCACTGTGCACATTCCAATTTCAGATGAACAGTTAAAAACTGCAGCAAGGCCAGGAGCAGGATACCTCAATTTCCAAGCTCAGAGATGAATTTCTGTTCTCACTTGCTGTGTTCCAGAACCAGATGAGAAAATAGTGGCTGGCTATGCGCCAGGACAGAGCTTATCCACGGCAAAGCCATGGCACACAGGCACACTTCTCTTGAAGCAAGGACTGACATCCCCATGAGCTGTCACTACCACTTCCTGAGAAAGGTACTTGCATTTCTCAATTCTCAAACATCTAAGGTAAAGACCCCGTTATAACTGTAGACCTTCCAGTTCTGAAGGCACTGAGCTCTCCCATCTCCTGTTCACCTCCTAGATCAACAATTAAAGCTTGGCCCATTCATTCCCATACAAGAGAATTCAAGATGGTTCCACATACTCTCATTTGCCAAAGATAGAAGTGACTTTTCAACACCAACCGCTAAAGAAAAATAATGAAACAAATGGAAAAAAAACAAACAAGACAAACTTTCAGGATTCTCATTCTAGTTTTGAGAAGCTGATGTTCAAGTTACTGCAAAACATGTAGACCAACATGACTCATTCACTCACAGAAACTACACTGCTAAAAATAAGCAGCCATCTACAGGAATATAAACATTTTAAAATGCCACACACTTTGTCATCCTGGTTAAGAGTTTGTATCACTCCCTTAAAGCCTAAGCTTTGTGTCTAGGGAGATAAGAATAGAAAGAGGAAGTCCACACAAGGTACCAGCAACGTAACAGATACCATTCGCACATTCTAGACGAACTGGATACCATCTCCTCCTGCCAGGAGGATGGTTAGGGAGACATTCCTCTTATCCCATTCATTACAGAAGACTGTAAAGAGAACTAAATGCTGTCCCTTGCACGTTAGATCAAGCAAGCAGAATTTGTTCTTCCTGGAACAAAAAGAAAATACAGAAAACTAAACTCATGTCAAAAGTAAGACTGCTGCTGTAAAATAGCTGGTGAAGAAGATGCCTGCTGAACCCCAGAGACAATTCATCTAGATTTCATACCATGTGTTTTCATCAAGTCTGAACTGTCTGCAGCCAGGTAACAGCTGCTGTACAATTAAGTGCATCACCCAGGCTTCCTTGATGAGTTAAGCAGGTGGTGGGCTTTAATTATCCCACCTAATGTTCTAAGTCACATAACAAATCATTACAGAGGAAAACCTCAGCAACATGAGAAATCCTTTCAGTGGACACTCAGCCAGGTAATTACAAAAGCCCCACACAAATGAGTAACTTCAACTTTCCTCCCACTCAAGCTTGTACTAATGCTTGCTAAGAATGAAGGGTTAACTCGAGGAGCAGCAGAGGCAGCTGCCCAGGCAGGTGAGCTCTGTGGAAGGAGCAGGAAGACCTGTCAACACGTGGCTGGTCTTAAAAGGGAAGACAAGGGAAGACTAGCAGACAAGGTTTGCTTTGCAATGACCAGAAGCTAACAGAAAGCAGAGTGATGAGAAAAACTGGAGAAGAGAGAATTGAGGTTCTTATTTATTCAACATGATATCACAGCACTGGGGAGCCTTCCTTACTTATGTGGTATCTGCTGCACAAGCAGCAGATTCTTTTCCCGGCTAAGGGCCAAACAAGCCATGCATTAAGACACACCTCAACATCATCCTACAGTAAGCACAGCTCCAGCCAGGATGAAATGAAATTATAATCCATTCTTAATAAAGACAGTATTATGTGTTATGGCCTTCATGGCTCTGTGCAGGGAGACATTTCAGGTCAGAGGGAGGTCACACTGCTAACACAAATAAATGCCAACACTGCTCTTCCACATTAAAAGAAAGAATCTGTAACACTGTACA